CTGTTTCTGATTTTCCTGAATCAGAATTTAATAGGATTTTGCATAGAGAGTCCTTGATATTATTATCTATGTCAAGGCATTTGATTTTTTCCTTGACTCTACAATCTCTAGCATAATGACCAAATCTATCACATTTGTGGCAAGTATCTGATTTGCTAAATTTTTGTTCATTAGATCTCCTTTTTTTCCCTATAAGGTTCGGCTCTTCTTTCTTTCTTTTCCATTCTTCTTTTCTTCCATGCTTTATAATCCTTTTTGGAAGATCTGTTCTAAGAAGAATGCTTCTTATCTTTGGAAGTTTCTTTAGGAATATCTAAAGCGAATTGTTCATAGAATTCTCCTAACTGTTGTCTTTCATTAAGACTATGCCTTTTAATTTGTTGATTCAACTTGATTTCATTGCATAAAGCAATTCCTTCTTGTATGCAAGCACTTACGAGTTTTCCATAGGTGTAATTGTCATAGTTAATACTATGACTATCTCCCCTAAGAGTCTTTCTAACTCTTTCAGCAAATAGAGCTTGTAAACCATCTATAAACTTAGATTTCCAATGAGAGCTATTACACTCTGGCAACTCCATAACCCTGCTAAGAACTCCATCTTTATAAAATTTGAAAGATGTGAGGGTCTTACACCTAAAATTTTGGAGCATGGTTCTTATGATCTCACTATTATCAGACCATCTTCCTGAAAAATGTGCTATGATATTAAGAACAAGGGTATACACAGCATTCTGAGTCAGATTTTGCTCTCCTTCTTGCTTTACAGCTTGAAGAATCTTATCGCTCTACTCAGTATTTAGATAATTATTCCACCAGCCTTTTAGTTTACCAGTAAATCCTGTCGTTATCATATCAACAATAGTTTTGTCACTATTTTTGTTTGCCTTACAGATAGTGTTGTACATAAGCATTCTATGTATAGTTGTATAAATCTGTCTATATGTATAACTATCTATGTTCCATTCATTGATTTTCTTTCCATTATAATTATTAGTTATAATATGTTCATGTTCTTCCATGAGCACATCCTGAGGAGTAGGTCTAGGATAGTTGTACATTCTTTGGACAAGTTTTCTCGCATATTTTTTTGAGATTTTATTAATTTCATCAGAAAACTCTTTTTTATAATTGTTTTCTCCTCTTGAAAAATCGTCAACACCCAAAGGCTTAAGACTACAGCCTTTGAATTTCCTTTCTAAGAGACTTTCCAGGTCCGAAAAGTCTTTTAACTTAAAATCTTCGATCTCCGGGGGGGTTGGATACTGGTATTGGCTACTTTCTCTTTTCCTTTAGTATTGGAATTGATTCTAGAAAGTAGTTTATCAACATTATCATGAATAGAAGTTATTTGTTCTCCTAATATGCTCATATAAATGTTAGCATAATTTTGCTGCTTAATCATAATATTAATATGTTGGGCAGTAAGTAAAGCAGTATTATCTTCAAATAATTTTGAAAAAGCATTTAAATAAACAATCTTGTCGTCCATTTAAATTTGAAATGATTGTAAGGGAGGAAAAACAGATTTAGTAACTTCCCCAGTACTTAATGTAAAATCTATTTCTATCATAGAGATATAATTATGAACATACTTAGCCATAAACCAAGGAACAAAAACAATTAATAAGTTTTGCTTTGATTCAATATGATCTGTATAAAATTCTTCTTGAAAACAAATATGTTCTTCTTTATTAAAATTCTTAAAAAATCATTTTCTGAAAGGTTTCCAGCTTGGTTTCAAGAATTCTTTAGAAATCTTTTCTCTTGTTGGTGATCCCGAACTAAAATCAATTTGTTTGTCAGTCATCATAAAATAATTTTTATGTGGAAAGACCATCTGGAAAATTCATTTCAGACTCAATTATATCTTAAGTCAGAAATGGGCCTGGGAATAGGTCTAGCAATATTATCCCTATCAATCTTAATATTGTCACATCTATAATTTTCTCTAATCTGAGAAGTAGATGCTCTTGAGGGAGTCTGAACAATATAATCAACAGGAGAGATATAAGAAGAATTAGATCTAGATAGTCTAGATGACATGCTATGATTATCAATTCTATTATGCATAGCTATAGGATCAGATAATTTAATTTTAACAGTTCTATCATTAAACTGTTCAACTTCTGAAATCTCGTTATTAATATTATTTTTTGATTGGGTTGCACCTTCAATAACCCACTCTTGTGGGAAATCAATCTCGTCCCACTGGATAGGTCTTCTGGTAACAACCTTTGATTTACCGAAATTAGTTTCTATAAGAATGGTTTCATTTTTAAAATCAATCATTCTACACATAGGATTCAAAGTATGTAAGAGTTTATAATAAATTATGTAGCATATGCAAACAACTTCAGTTTCAGGCATATAATCATAACCATGAAGTTTGACACTAAGCATTAGAGAACTTAATGAATTCTCATCCTGTAAAGAGATATGTAAATTAGGATAAGCATTAAAATAAACTAGTCCATAAGTCAGACTAGTCTATATTGAGGAGAGAGAGAAAAAAAAATTTAGAGAGTAAAATGGAGAATTGGGTTGGAGTTGGCATCTCCAACCCTACATTCTATTTTACTCTCCAAATATAAACTTCTCTATTTTTTCAGACAACCAACTCCAACCTAATTCTCTATTTTACTCTCTAAAAAAGAATCTTTTTTCTATTTCTCTCTCCTCAATATTATATTATTATTTCTATTTCATTTATATTTTCTTATTTTGTAATATAAATCTTTTTTTTCTTTAATAATCATCCTATATAATTTTCATGTTATATAAAATTTAATTTTTGAAATTATTTATTTAATATTAAATTATATTTTATTCCTAAATTTCTAAAGAACAACTACAAATAATTGAAAAAAGAAATCGACAAGCACAATTGCAATTACAACCACAACTTCTCTAAAGCATACACTAAATACTTCATTTTTCGAATATTGTTAAATCTAGAAACGAACTACCAGATTACTAAATAATTGTTGTGATTTTAAAAAATATTATGTGATGTATTGTATTGTTATCTTGTATTTAAATTATTATATTATGTATTGTATTTTTAAATTAACACTTGTATCTTATCATTTAAATTTTGTGCATTCTTAATAGTGAAATTAATAATATCAAATTGTATCACAAAGTGATGAATTTTGTTTTTTTTTTAAAATATTATTAATTTGAGATGAAAGTAATATATATTAAATAATATATTTTTAAAAATGTATGTTACATTTTAAAAGAGTTACAAATACTAGAGATTTAATTAATAGTCTTATATGAAAAATAATATGTTAATTACAAAATAATAGAAATAATAATATAATATTCAAAAAGTGAAATAGAGAGTATGAATAGTAATTCTCCAAATTTAGAGAACTAATATTCAACTCTCCATAATTGGAGAGTAGAGGGTTTGGAGAGGGCATTCTCTATTTCACTCTCCAAATATTGAGAATGGAGAGTAAAATAGAGTAGCGTTGGAGATGATCTTATCACTGTTTGAATATTTTAATATTATTTCATTATAAAAAACTTTTAATTTAAGATTCTATAAATTGTATGTTTTTAATTAAATCTCTTGTATACTTGATTAATTTTATATCTAAAAGTTAGCATATATGAATTAATTTTAAAATAAAATTTATGTTAATTCTAGGACAAATTAAAATTGCATCTCCAGAAATCAGAGAATGACTTTACTGTGTGTGAAATCAGAAATGTCAAGTCTGATATATTATGGTGCATCCAGTTTTGCATTCATTGTCCCAGCAAACAGAGAGATTTATTGTTGATTCAACTCCCATTACAATGCACAGATAAATACAAAAGCAAAAGAAAACAACTATTCACACGCACACTCACACATATATTATATAGCATCAAATACTGGTATATCCATCTAACACAAGAACATTTAGCTCTAAATAAAAAAAAACAAATTCTCACTATTTCAGCTATAATGTCTCCAGAGAGTTACCATGCTCACCTGATTCATGAGAACTACGACAAAAAATGCAACAAATTTGTGCATTTGTAAATCATAGAAGCATCAAACCTCAATTTGAACCAAAGAGAGAGAGAGAGAGAGAGAGAGAGAGAGAGAGAACATATGTGATAATTAAACTTTGGTAATCACAGAATATCGGTATTATGTGAAAAACCTGGATCCGTTTCTACTTCTAACTTGTGCTCCAGAGACTGGTCAAATTGCATCAGCAGGCAATTAGAGAAAGAGCAATATCCTTCAAAGGGCTTGCCTTGAATACCATAAACATTAGTCTAGTAGGCAAAGAACACCTACGTAATGCCTTACAATGATCAAGAAAGTATAACTGCAATGCAACTCCCTTATCACAAACAACAAACACAACACCAACTCACCATTCCAAGTCACTACGTAAAACCATAATCATTCTCCAAAATAGATCGGTAATGTTATTTGACGTAATTTCTTCTCTGAAGACTAGTTCTGCATATTTCTCAACAAGATGGAAAATGGATCATTCAACAGTTTCAGAACTTCTATTCATATCTCCCCTATTAGGTACTAAAATCACAAAAGTTGCAAATATCTGATTCTGAAAGAGCTCTAGCTATTCAATTCAAACTAAAATTTATCCAGCAGAGGTTTTCCTTCAACCAACTTAACAAGAAATTAACATGAAAAAATATTATGGGAGCTATTCAAGTATGTTTTACACTACTACCAATAATACCACCCACAATTAATATATAGTTCTACAACCAAAAGAAAAATGAAACAGGTGGTCAAGATCATATCAATGAAATTCAAGAAAAGCACCATTTATAGTAAATATTAGAATTAAATTACTCTTCAAGAGAAGAGGAAGAACACAAAATCCATTAACAAAAATGTCTGACTATTGTCATTCAAACAAGTTCTATAATCTCAGGGTAATGCAATACAGAAGGAAACAGAAGTGAATTTACCCAAACACTTCATGTCCTCCTCCGCTAAATTGAATCTTCACTTTGGCAAATGAATATCTCAACTATCTCACAAAAAATCCCTCCCAGGATTACCTCAACCTTTCTGCACACAAGGTATAACCGTATTTAATACTGCTACACCACAGTTACCACTTATCTGATTAGAGCAGTCGAGCCCCTCAAGGTGCAACCTAAAACCTGCCCCTGAGCACCTCCTTTGTTGAGAAAACGTTCCCAACTGTTGTAAGACTTAGCCATTTTCTCTTTTGCAGTTCCCAGGCAAAATATATTTGTACTTGTCTGGATTTTCAAACAGATAAGAAGGAAGATCAATTGCTGAGTACGAATGGGGGATAGGCCCCATGTTGCCGATAATATCCTTGAACGTGTACTCCTCAGGAAGCATGTCATATAAATCAGCTCCTTTACAAATGACATCCTGAATCCTTGTAGGATTCAGATAATGTGAAAACCTCACTCTATCACTGTGGCTGTAAGCTTTCATCTTGAATATAAAGTCACTAATGTGGCGGAAACAAAAGCTACAATGCCAACCTGCATCTGCCAAAATGTAATCACTCTGACGATAGTGTGCATATCTAGTCTTACCACTCTGATACCTGTGGACTGAAGCTCTCCAGCTTCTGTGCTTAATCTGAAATTCAAATGAGTACAAGTAATTCTTCAGATGAAGGTGAAGGACATGAGGAATGTCATCACACCACCTCAAAAGATTAATAGTATGAGCGTTAGGAATCTCATCAACGTCGGACATTATGAGCAAATCATCATCCTCAATGCCAGCAAGTCTCAGAAGTTGGTCCAATGCTACTCTCTGATATGCCTCTTCAAAAAATGGATTTTCACCTTTTTCGTCTCTTCCGGCAATGTTTCCATATGCCAAGCGAGGCTCAATGAACTTAAATTGGTCCCTATTAAGTGCAAAATTGTGGAGTTTAGGCAAACCAGTAAATGTTGAGTTTGACTCAAGAAGAACAAACTGTGTGATGTAAGGATACAACTCCTTCCATCTGATTTTAAGCATATCGACTTCATTACTGAATAGAACAGCATCAAAGACGCGCCTAGGATATTCACGAATTCCCCATCCATGTAGTTTACAAATATCCTCCATTGGTACATTCTCATGATAATAATGAGTAATTTCAATAAAGGGCTTTGGAGGAGATTGCCAGAGGGGACGGAGGAAGTAGGTAATTTTCTGCCCATGCAAGTATGCACCAACTATGAACATTGGCACGAACACAACCAAAAAAATGAGAGCCTTCAAATCTAATCCTCGAAGCATACACCGTAGTCTTGACATGCTTAATGTTGTGGGTGAATCCTGCTGCACATTAAAACAGTAACTTTCTAAGTACACAACCAAAAGTAGTAATAACCCAACATGTTAAATCTTTTTTTCTTCCCTTTTGGGTGGAGAGGGTAGGTGGTGCCAGACATGTCATCTATAAGTTCAAACAGATACTTCTTAAGAACCAACTGACAAAGCATTGACCAAGGAACTCCAAACATGTTCAGTATATACAAATAGTTTTCTCATGAATCCTTCAACACAGAGAAACAAATTAATTTACTGTTCCAAACATATTCAGTATATACAAATAGTACAAATTTTGTTTCGCTGTTTGGAATTTCAAGTCTTGTACAACCATAAGACTTGAAATTCCAAACAGCAAAACAAAGTATCAGAAAGAGTGCAATAGAGGAAACAGGGAATTTCAATCCTTGATCTACTGATACAAAACAATTGGAAATTACACAATTTTGTCTACATAAAAAAAATTATTTTGCATTTTTTAATTTTTATTTTAGAAAAAAAATAACTTTGGCTACAAGTATTTTCCTATCAATTGAGGATTCTGGGTTTACAGATAATCCATTCTAGAAAAGACAATAAAAAAGCACATTCTAGAAAGAGAGAAACATATGATCTTGGCAGAATTTTGAATTTGAAAAAACAAACAAACAATGAGATGAAAAATAAAGTGTAAAATTGTGATTATTACCTGTCCACAAACATCTGGGCAAATATCATCACTCTTCTTCGAAGTGTAATAGTAACCATCAGACATCATGAGAACCAATCTAATCAACAAATGCTGGTTGATTACCCCTCTTTCCTGTTGTCAAAGATCGTTAATGGAACTGCAGACATTTACCCCGAGGGCTTCTCTAATGGACAATTCACAACTTAATAATAGCCGTTTGCTGGGTTCCGATGGATATATATATACACACACAAACAGAGAAGCCTAGTTGTAGTTCGACAAGGATAGAGAAAAATAAATTTATGGACCAATTTCTAGTTTTTGCATAATATTGGGGGCATAATATATAAATATAAAACTTAACTTGGCAATGACCTTTAATTTTGGATGTGTATAAGTTGACACTTAAATTTGTATAAATTGAACAAATAGACACATATGTGCTACATGACAATTTTGTAATCTACATTGCGTCCTTCATATATTATGGCATGTAGCATATGTGAGTCTACTTGTTTAATTTTATACTCCATCAGTTCCTAATTACTTGTCCATTTTTTCTTTTTTAGTTGTCCCTAATCTCTTGTCCATTTTGACAATTCAAGAAAAGACAAACTTTTTTTAACCTATTATACCCTAAATTAATTACTTTGAAAAGAGATAAAACTTCTTGAAAATCTTAAGTTTTTAATTCATTCACTTCATAATTAATATGGGTAAAATAGTAAAGTTACTATATCAATTATTGTTTATTTAATATGTGTGTCAATTTAAAAGTGGACAAGTAATTAGAAACAAAGAGAATACTAATTTAAATGTTTACTTGTGCACTTTTAAAATTGAAGAATATAATTACCTGTTAAACTCAATTTAAGGGTTAGGTTTATATATTATACTCTTTCATATTGAGGGGGGCTGGTGGAATTAATTGTATTTCCTAATCCAAAAAGAAAAGAAAAGCCCTTTCACATTCGTAATAAACATAAGTAAGATTTAAATTTCAGATAGGATAGGATTAATTGCCTCTCTCTCTTCACCAACATTAACGCGGTCAACATGCGGATTCTACACCGTATATCCCAACAATGCTGTCCCATATTTTATCCATTTGCATTAATTTTGTTTCTTTCTCTTCATTAACATATTAAATCACTCAATTTAACTTTTACTCTTAACGATTAAGTATTTCATATATATCCGTTAATCATAGTGAAGTGATAAATATATTTATGTATTGATGTCACAGTTAAAAAGTGGACGTGATGACACATGTCTTATCTCACCAAGACAAATATGATTAAAATTCAAACATCATAATAAAATGCAGAAGTAAAAAAAAAATTGAAAATTTAACAACAAATAATAATGCAGATAACAAGTCAACTTAACTAAATCTCCAAAATATGATTGTCACATGCACAAGCCTCTAATGTATTATAATAAATTTGAAAGAAAAACACGAGTCATATTGTCTCTATAGTAGAACAAAATCATAAATAGGAGTAAGAAGTTCGCTGGAATGGCAAACAACTACGCCACAAATCTCCACAAGAAGCCTCAGACGGGAAGAGAAGAGGGAGTATCACGAAGATTTGGGCTCGTAACCTACACAAATATAGCAGCAATGGGTGGGTACAAACAACACGGTACTTAGCAAGCAAACTCCTAAACACAAAGTCAAGTAATATAGAATACGAGTACTCCTACCATTCCAACCGAACCTCCAAAACTACAACATGCATTAAGTCAGCCCAACCTAACAATGCACAATATAAATAGCTCATAGCTCAATAAAAACTCTCCAACAATTATAGATCAACTGTACTCCAGATCAAGTTCATCAATCACAAGTTCCACAAAAAGGCACTCACAAATTCACAAATGATTTGGATATGCAATACAATGAAATGTAATATCAAGTATAGTGATGCATGTCTGACCTAACGATACACACCCGCCGTCTCTCAATATGATCCACATTACAACTGTACACATACTCGATTTATGAAACTGCACATAATCTCACAGTACTCCATTGAAGTCAACACTCTTAACACTAACAAACATCATAACCACACAGACCACTTACCGTACTCTCAAATCGTCACTAGTATCAAAGTTTTCTTGGTAAACACAATGTCATTTCCACAAATCCCAAGCTATGGCTCTTTCTCTTTCCATTTAAGCATTTCATGACAGAAATGGATCCCACCTAAAGTTGATAGCACTAATTCCAAATCTGATAGTACTCTCACATCGAGATAAAACTATTGAATTACGCATAATATCGACTCCATACAATCTTTCACATATATATTTCAACTACCATTCAAACAATCATATACCTCATGCCAAACTTTAGAGAAATCTTTCATCACCCCAATAATTATGTATACTATGAGCATATAACCTCTATTTATCATCAAGTGTCTATGTGCCACATCATAACAGTCTGTGCAGTCTCATCAACAGAGTGGTATCAACCTCGCTTAGAATCCTCAATCGCCATGTAGAATTGTATCCCATCGTGTAGTGCATCCATAAGTCACATGCCATTATTTGAACAATTTAACCCACATAAAAATGCAGAATCTTCCACACATTACTGTTGTCACCCAAACAAAAACTCAATCTTCATAAAAATCATTGATAAATCCGTAGTAAGTCAATGTCGAAGCAGTTCACATTGCATAGCCATATCTGAACTCAAAGAAGAATATGCATACAACCTTCAACTCCAAACTAAAGTTCTATAAGAGGTATTGCATTCCTTCACTTTTCTTAGATCCTTCCCATGATGCAAATTTCAAATACCTTAAACTTTTCAATATACCAGATTCTTATTCCTTTTGCTAACTTGCTTACAAATCTTATCCCTTGATCAACAACCCAAGACATATTACCTCATACTTTAAACTAAGATTTTAAGTGAAACCCTTGCTTAGGTTGTTTAACAAGCAAAAGTAACAAACCTTACGACCCAAACCATGCAGATGCCATCTCAAATGCTCAATATCCGATGTGATCGGTCATTTCTTACCTTATCATTCATACCTTGACAAAACATACTACCACAAACATAGACTTACAATGAAAAACTTGAAACTCTGGTTCCAGTCGCGTAACCACTCCTCTTATCTATCAACATTAGCTCATACCTTGAAGATATTTATGAAATCATATATCATAACTTATCATTGATCACCTCTCTATCGATCTTATCATATCTTTCATTACAATTTCAATCATACCAGTTACCAAACTCGAAACCACAAAAGAACTCATCTTCACACTTGCGTTGAACTTCGACAGACTTCTTTCTCAAAGCTTACCGAACAGTTTTAACCTATCTAATGAAAACGTAACACTATTACCATCACCAGAGGAAAACAGATGGAACCATGTGTCTCAAAACAAATTGAACCACATGTCTCTGAACCCAGTTCTCAACTCTTTGAAGATACATCTTTTACCTTTGTAATCAGAGTAATTATCCTTGCTCTTGCCTCCGTATTCCACTAATTCTTTCCATTATACTTTAAATCCTTTCAATCATATTCGAATGGTCTCCCAGCACATCCTACAACTTTCCATACAACCATGCTACTCACCAAATGGTAGCAACCCACAACTTTAGATACCCGCAAGTCGTTATTACCATGCAAAATCCATTTAATCGAAAATTCTTATCATATGGTATCTAACTAGTCATAATCAATCACAAACTCTTATTACCATCATGTTCAGTAGCCCTTTCCATCACTACAAAGTCAACCTTATCATCTACATGACACCTCAAACCAAGTTATACCAACCAAATCCAAAGAGCTAACCCAATCCTATACGCACTTTCTTGCTAAAATCTTCAATGCCTCTACACAAGTATACTCACTAGGACGTTTTTTACCCATAATCTTGTCATTCAGGTATCAATCTACTCCTTTGGATCTTACGATGAAATCACCAATTCCTATTTAGAATCCTCGAAATACACTTCACAATTGAAACACATAAATACCCTACCAACTATCCACCTCTAAAATCTTCTTTATAAACCATGCTTAACTAAGCGTCCATAGCAACAAACTAGTTGGCTTCTGAAATGTGAATGCAACATCAAATCTCATTATACGAGCAGGTGATACAACTGATAACTCCTTAAGTAATTAGTGTTTGCACTTAATAATCAATGTAACCGTTTCAATATACCACTAGTACCACATCGTGAAAACTCTTTAGATCCACTACTAGAACACATAATATCCACTGAGAAGATCGTACTCAAATAGTCCACACCTTTCTACCCATTGAGTAGCTATAAAATATTATCAAATCTGTTCGGTCTCTAGTCAAAAGCGATATGCATTCTTTCATAGATCAGTTCGATGATAGAAGTAACACACTCTATAACTCTAATCAAGTAAGCATATGTACCATTATAGTATATATTCTTACCTTGGTTGACAAAACATTATTCTCATCATACGCTAAGGAACCCATACTTGTTATGACAACTTTACTAACTGTAGTTTCCAAAGTTACAGTCCTCATTACCTAGCTAGTCATTCCTTAAATCATTCATTTTCCAATTGTCAAACCACTCCAAATATCATAGATACCACACAGATATTCTACCCGCTGCTGAATAACCAATCAAAAGAGATATGACGTTCATGAAGTCCCCCAAACCATTTTCCACCCATAGCACTCCAGTATTCTCAAAGTGCATCGTCACGCCATAACCTTACTCAACTTCTTTGAATCTTAGAACATTCTGAATCTGATCATGCATTCTTATAATAAGTCTATCACTTCCAAACCAGATCTAACCTCCACGCCATACATGACACACCAATTGCTCGCATGAAGAACTACACACGAGTCATCACTATAAGTGAGAGAGTGGAATGAAGCGATAAGAATCAGATCAAACTAAGGACACACGATATAGATTCTAGAAGTGAGGATTTTTTTTTCTAAAAGTCATTATAGTCTCTCGAAGATAAGTAACAAACTTCTCCATGCCAATCCTCGAGACTCTATTAGACTTGGCATGTACACACGTGAGACCTTTGAACTTGGGGTTGTGATACCATTTGTCACGACCAAAAAATGTATGTGATGACACTCGTCTTATCCCCACCAAGACATGTTAGCATAAAACT